AGTCAGGTGGAATCAGGGTAGCTATTTTTTCATCCTGACTTGTGTCTTCTACGTGTATATTGCAGTTTGGGACTGAACTGTTCCTGTATGTACAACTGAAAAGTAAGAACTGGAAACATTGCATCTGTTTTCAAGGCACGTGTTGATCTTCTTGAGCCAGGACCGAGAAAGTCAGGTGAGCTCTTAACCAGCAAACAACAGTGCTTTGGTTATCGAAATCTCATCAAATCAGTGCCTGAGCACAAAGACAACAGAGACTTTACCTTCCCTGTGGTATTCCTGTTCTGCAGAAGGGCATCTGTGTACCTGTGCTGTCTTAGGAACACCTTTGTCTACGCTGGTTTGAGCTAAGGCATATCCTTCGAGGAAATGCTGTTGTGCTTGTCTTTTGCTGCCTCTTTTTGCTGCATGGACATGACTCTGCACATCCCATAGGCAGGCAGTGACATCTGGCAGCTACTGCCAGGCAGATAACCAAGCCACGGAGTGCTACCCACACATCTCCTGACATTGCAGACTATCTGTCCAGGGCTGTCTTGTCCTTAAGGACAGTATAGATAGAGCAAAACAGGCAGTGCTCATCTGAGAAGATTGGTTTCTGAAGTGATGCATTGGTAGCAGTACAGTAGTGCACAGAAAAGACAACGTGTGTGTGTAACTTCTCCAAAAAACTGCAGCCAAAAATGCAAATGGTGGGAGTATGCACAACGGACAGCCAAGGTATTACTCTGCTGTTACTCCATATTCATCTTGCCAGCTCAGAGATTCGTAAAAGGTTGCAGAGCTGTAATACTCTTCTTGAAACATCAGGGACCTTTGGTGTGAAATACAGCTCTAATTAAACTCGACGGGGTGGTCTTCACGTTGCTACAGTCGATTCACGGACACAAGAGGGCAAACACTTTGACAGGAGGCTTGGGGTGATTAATGGGCTTGTGCACACTTTGTCTTTTGTTGGAATGACAAACATCTGCTAACGCTGAAGCTTTATTAATGGTCACCCTATGAACTGCAGGGTCTTTTGGGCACATGCGAGTAGAAGATGGCGGGTTGCAGGCTGAGAGACTCGTACTGAAAGAACTAGTGCCCCGTCAGGCCTCCTGGTCTTTAGGTGGTACAGTCTTGGCTGAAGCTCAGGTGACCTGAGCCCAGGTGAGAAAACAGCAGCACAATGGTCCAGTCTGGCATCTATTCTCAGCATGAAGGGCACGTTACAGAAAAAACTACATAAACGTTGCTCGTGTTACGTAACCCTGAGTAAGTAATGCCCAACGGAGCAGTTCTGCAGATTCGAAGGGCTGCTGCGGCGTTCCGTGCACGGAGAGCAGCTCACGGCTTCTCCCCGGTGCAGGCAGCACTGCGCTGCGTTTCTTTGCAAAGTAAATGTTGCACTCCGGGTTAGCAGCTGCCCTGCTGCTGGTGGGCAGTTCTGGCTCACCTGTCACTGCTCGGGAGTCCAGGTGCCCTCCCAATGCCAGCAGCATGTGGTCACGGCTGGAGGAAGCAAGTAAAAGAAGCTCCTTCCTGCTAAAATTCAGCCTCAGAGCCATGCCAGAATGGCTCCCTGCACCCTCGGTGATCCAGGTTAAGTTTCTCAGGGCTAGTGGCCTGTGTCCGACGCTAGCAGGCAGCAATGCAGCGCTGGTGGCCAGGGACACCAGCCCACTTCCTCCTCATGTCCTTTGCCATGGCCCTCTGCACACCCAGGGAGAGGTGCTGGTGGCACTGGGCAGCCCCTGCCTGAGGCTGGTGAGGTCTCAGCCCTGGAGCTGCCTTTGGAGTTGAGCAGAGATGGTGCATTTGCAGAACTGAAACCACGCGGCCCAGCGTTACAAAAATGTTACGACTTAATTTGCTACAGATTTCCCCCTCCCCTCCAGAAGGGATGCCTTCAGTTTAAAAAAAGAAGTCCATTTAAAACAAAAGACTAATGAATATGGTAGCCCTTCCTCTTTTGCAAGTTTAAACGCCTCATCTTTTCTCAGAGAACAGCTCTAAATCATTTTATTTGCAAGCCCTAAGCAGGAATTTGTATTCATGGTAAGACATTTATTGAGTTAATTTATTTAAGGCTGGGGCATAATTTCTAATAATGGAAGAGTCTCTAGGCCCAGCGAAATTGTCTCCCTGATAGGACATTAATATTTTAAGGGGTTATAATACTCTGTAAATTGATCTGTGTCTTTTAGGGAGTAGGTTAGCAGTTATTGATGATGGCTCACGTGAAGGATTATCTTAAATAAAGCTGCTGCTCGGCGGCCCAATGCACCGCCACGCCGGCGGGGAGGGGGCTCGGGGTCTGGGTGAGCGGGTACGAATGAAACGAGGAGGAAAAATAACGCAGTGAAATCTGCAGGGTGGCGGCTCTCCCGCAGTACTGGGCCTGGGGAAAGCCTGCAGTGCCTTTGTGTGCACGGCAGTCCATCGGGATTTCCTGGAGAGGTGGAGTTGGGTACTGACCTGAGCAAGGTGTTGGCACGTGGTCTGCAGGAGGCTTGTACATCCTGGCAGATAGTCTGACTGCTGTGGATAATAGTTAAAAGACAAATAATTTGACCTCCGAGTACCTTAATTTCTCTGCTCTTAGCAAGAGGGAACACATGCAATTTCTTGAGTGATTTTAAAAGAAAAGGAAAAGTTCAAATAAAAAACTGTTGCAAGTTCAAATAAAAAACCGTTGCTGTTTTACTGCTATATTGAATGGTGCCAAATGGCCTTTACAAAGAAGGTAACATAAAACCAAATCAGATAAAATACCTTTAGGGAATTTTAGGCCTGTCTCAGGGAAGGGATGACAGGAGCACTGAGGCCTGGGCAGAGTTTGCCGGGGCACGTTCAAACCCTCCCAGCACAGGCTGAGGGTCCCGAACGGCGGCAGTGCAGTGGCCTGGGAAGGGGGATGACGCGAGCAAGTGGTGCAAAGCTACGGTGGGCAAACGAGTCACACTTTCTCAGTACTGTCTGCTTCTGATTGCTGCCAGAGGGACTCTCTTCGTGCACTAGGCTCTTTGTGGCTGCATGTTCACACAAGTAACGGCACACGAGGACTGGCCCGCTAGTCAGCGCAGCCAGGTGATCTCGCCGTGCCAAGTAACGTGACAGCTTTACAAGTGTGATAAAAAAGCCAAATTGTTCAAACTGAGCTGCAGTGGCCTGTCGTGGGTGTGTTCACTGGCTTTGAGTATTAGGTTTTATTTATTCATGTATAAATTATTCCTCTGGATGCAATAGGTAAAAGCCTTTCTCTGCTAGAAGCTAAATTCTGCTCTGAGTCAAACACTGGCACTTTGTGTTTCTATGTGCATGGCTTTATTGTGGATACTGAGCATTTACTGAGAAAAATGAATGTTGGTGTGGAAGGACGTGCAGCTGCAGCGCAGCTTAGACTGTGCTGCCTTGCAAGAGCAGAATCAATGTGTTGGGGAAAAAGCGGGCTGTGGAGGCATTCAGGGCATCACGGGGCTGGTTTTCCCCTAAAACTTAGGGTGGTGAGGAGTGTTTTACTGCCCTACAGAAATTCCGACTAATATACGTGTAAGATGAATGATTACGTCTGAACTGTGCTCCTTGGGGCCCCATCTGATAATTTTTTTCTTACATGCTCATTTGTCAGCGCGCTGTCACGCCTTCAATTAATGAGTTACTGGCAGCGCTGTTCATCCTCGCTCCCTCCCTTAACCACACTGGGTCCTCTCCCCTCCTCGGCGAGGTGCTGCTGAGGTGGGCACACCACAACTCCCATCCGCCCAAAGGAGGCAGATGCTCAGTGAGAGCGAAGGCAAAATGAAGTGATTCTGTCCGTCACTGCTTCCCTCCTCCGAGAGGTCAGCAAGTCCCTCCTGCTTACGCCTTTCCTCCTGGAGGAGTGGGCCGGGGCACGTAGCAATTTCTCAACTAAATCACATTCGTTGCTGAAGAGCCCTGCGGGTCTGCGTGCAACGCACACAGACACTGAGGGAGGTCAGCCAGCAGCGGGCTGCAAGGGAAACTGCTTCCCTCTGTCATGGCCACCACCGATGACCAAGGAAAGCCATCCAAAATTACCCAGCATGTCGGCAGGTTTCGTATTTTACATTTACCTCTTACCTGGAAGCTTGGAACAAAAATTTCCGTATTGTTCACTGTGGGCTTTTGTGGCTGCGTGTCTGCTGTAGCCTTTTGGTGTGTCGACCATGCCCTTGGTCTGATATAATGTGAGAATAATTAGACACAAAATGAGCGATGTATTTTCTCTGTGTAGTCCATTGGCTTTGCGCCCCTCTAATTCCTTTCTGTCTAAATGGCACTATCTCATTTTTTCCAAATTCTGCCTACAGGAGAAGCTTTCCACAATAATTACCTTTTACTTCCCATTTCCTCCTCTAGCACACCCAAAACTGGGCAGAGCACTCAGTAAACCACCTTTGCTTTATGTACCTTTAACGTAACAAGTACCTACAGTCGTTATCTTCTTCTTGACATGTACCGTTCGAAAGGTACTCGGGGTGCACCATGTTGTGTCCTGCGAGGGAGTTAACCTTGTGCATGCTTGTCTCAGCTGACAGCAGCGAGAATAATTATGTCTCACATAAAATACCTGCACATTTACAATGGAGCAGAACTGCTGGGGTGGGAGGGACCATATATATAGAGTTACAATTACAGGGCTGGCAAGCAGAGAGCAAAATCATAGAAAGCAGCGCTGCTGGGCTCGTGAGCTGTCTGCTCCTTAGAGGAGGGAAGGTGAACTGTCTGTATCCAGCCCTGGATCCCTGCCTGCAGCGAGGGGCAGGTTTGCCGAGTGCATGGAACCTCAAGTAATTGCCCAACGTGACCGAGCACAGACAGCTGTGCGCTCACGGATCTGCAGCCACAGGAGATTGGCAACTCCAGCAAGGTTAGGTTAGAGCTGAGTTAAGGTATCTAGTGCAGGAGAAAAAGAGCTGCCTGGAGCATGCCAAATTTCTGTATAAAGCTGTAACTATTTATAAATTTTATGCACATTGTATTTGCTGAAACAGAGTAAATTGATTGACTCAACAGAAGCCAAACTTGACATTTCGGAGGAAGAATTTATTTCACGTAAGTAAATATCAGAAATTTTCATTTTGATACAATTTAGAACTTTTGTGTGTATTTAAAGAACTCAGGCGTGCAAGCTGCAGGCAGACCATGGTGGGTGGGCAGATGTGAGCATAAGCTGCCACTTCCCACAAGTAGCTTGAAGGATGAGAGTTTACATCTTGAAAACAGAAACGCATTACCCAGGCATGGTTTTAACATTCTTACATAAGGACTGAATCTAATTTTACATAAACCCTTCTTGTATCTTGGAGTTGCTTCTGACTTTCATTGGAATAAATAAGACGGGAATCAGGCTGGCAGTTCATGGGGTGTCATATAAATAACAGGCCTCGTTCCCCTCTCGCGCTAAGAGTGGTGTTGTGTATAAAGTCTGTGTGTATAAATGTGTGTGCAACCCCCTGGTACGAGCGCACGGGAAATGCGGGCTGGGCTCTCTGTTTCTAAGTTACCTGCTGCTGGTTTGTCCCGTGCAGCCTGGCACTCTCTGGGCGGCTGCCAATGGCCTGTGGGTGCAGGTGCTGCTCCCTGTCGCCCACCATGGGAGACCAGCCCGTACGTGGGGGCTGGTGCCTACACAGTGCTGAGGGTCAGCGAGGGCTGCCTGGAGCAAGCGTAGGTGTGTGCTACAGTGTCAGGAAGTCACCTCGGCAGTGACGGCTGTTTCGGGAATTGAGAGGAAATTTTTCATGTGATGTAATGACAGTGACTTGGATGAAAAGAATCTACTTTTTACCAAGAGCAGAAGTTCACAAAGGATTTCTACAAGTATCATGAAGTCACCAGTTTACTGTCCATGATGCTGTATAACCACTCGAGGCAACTGAAAAAAAAAAACGAACCCACAAAAAAAAAAAAGCAACACTGGGGTCACACCTGCCACAGCCTGCATGTGCCCTGCTGGGGCCTGGCCTCCCACAGCGCCTGCTCTGAAATGCGCCTCCTGCTCTTGCAGGAAAAAACGGGGCCAATAATGACCTTCTAGACTTGGTCAAGTTGTTAACCTGGTTGAATTCAGATTTTTCTAAAACAGAGAAACCAGCGGGACAGAAAAAAGGTTCAGTTCCAACCAAAACAGAAACTTTTTGAGGTTTTGGCAGAATACAAAAACATGAAAGACTAAAGAGACATTCCTTTCAACCCAAAATTATGTGCTTTGTTTTTTCTCTTATTTAACAAACTTGAAGTCTTTTCTCAATTTCTTCTTTTAGTCAGAAAATATTTTAAGCAAGAAAAGAGATTTTTGAAGCTAAGAGATCAGAAACAATTTCACTGTTATCCACCCGCTGCTGCAGGTGCTGTTTCCAGGTTCTCCCATACCCTTTTCCATCAGCCTCTGATGCCCCAGTTTGCTCTGACCAGCTGAGGAGCGAGCTCGTGTATCTGTTGACACATGACAGGATCCCACTAGCTCCTTAATTCTATAATAATGGGATTCGTTTTGTATAAATTTATTTTAGTGTCAGATAACTAAGGTTTCCAGTAAGAGTGGCTTGCATCAAAATGTTGCACACTAATGCCTGTTGTTAACCCCATTCTCTTTCTTGTAGCTGCATCAGATTTTCTCCTGGCCTGCCAAAATACATTTTCAATGTTCAAAACATAAAAGACAGAAAATACTTTTTTTTCCTGGAAAGAACGAGCTTTAAAGTTAAAAAAAAAAAATTAAAGTCAAAGTTTAAAGATGTGGAAATGGAGAGGCAAATCATTTTGGATCAATTGAAAATGAAGGCTTTTAATGATTTGTTTGGTCAGTATGTTAAAATTTGAACAGCTCTCATAATAAATCACCGGAATACCCGACTCTCTGGCAGCAGCTGTCATGCCACGAACCTTTCCTTACAAAGTCCCCTGCCTACGCACATCCTCATAGTCATCTTTCAAGGTCAGACACTGCTCACAGTTCAGGCTGGGCAGGGGGGAAAAAGAAACGTTTAAAAAAGGAAGACAGATGACACCTGTCTGAAATCACTCAAAACCTTTTCTAGATAAACAAATATGTTGACCTTGAAGTGACGTTTTGGCAAAGGCAGCAAAGTCTGGTCCTAGGGTGTGCGATGCTTTTGGCCTCTTTTCATTATTTTGTAGTTGTGTTTGGTGACTGTGGCGTTTGTGTCAGTGGCCAAAGAAAACTCGGCACAGAATGGTGCAGCCATGAGGCAGTTGTGGACTCCTGGTGATGCTGTAGTGACGCTTTCTCCTGGAAAGTTATTCCTCAGGAGTGAATACAGGGAGCAAAAGGGGAGTCTCTGCCTCTGTCCACGCTCTCTCTGTAGCACTGTTCCCGTGTGCTGGTCATGTTGACATTGGGTGAGCAGCACGCCTGGGCCTGGGCAGAGGAAAGGTGGTGAAACTGCCGCCAGGGCCGCACAGGTCCTCCCGCGGAGCCGAGCTGTGGTAAAGCCCAACGATCCACATCTCTCCATGTATGATGTGAAAATCAGTGTCCTCATGTGACGTCTGTCAAACCTGGTCCTGGGAATCACTTGGGAAGACACCCCAGTGAAAATGGTTGCCTAGAATTCCAGATACAGTCTTGTGTTTGGTTCAGGTAGGCTGAGGCTTCGGGTGCGAGGGCATCCTGGGTGCTGCGGACCGGGCACGTGGGACGCAGCCTCCCGCGGCACAAGCCGCCTGTGGTGTTTCCTGCAGCGCTTTCACTTGCAGTGCAAGGGAAACAGAACACGCAAATTATGCCTCAGTTCATCATGAAAATCTTAACTGTGTAATAAATAGAGGCAATACCTAAACAGGCAACTACTAGATGCAATCTGTTTCTATTTCAGCATGTATTTTGTTCTATCTTCCCCAGCCAGGTGTTATTCTGAGACGCATGCGTGCCTGCGTTGCATGTTCTCCAGTCGTAGCAATTTGACTCTAGTAAAATTTGACCTTGTAAATCACTACCTTAAGCTTAGCAAACTGGTCATATGGGTTTGGTTTTCTGGCTGGCTTTTTAGATTCTCATAAATGCCCCTCTTCCCTGGCGTTGGGATGCCATCAGCCAGCAGAAAATTGGAGAATATGCTAATCTGCTCCATGCAGTGAGACACAGGCGGTGCTTTCAGATGGCGCGTGGGAGGTAACAGGACTGCAGTGGTTCCTGCCAGCTTTCCTCACCATTCATTACTGCTGGAGACAAGGGGCCTGTCACCATGGGTTACGCTGGCAGTGGTGCAAAAAGGCCTGGGTCAGGTGACGGTTTACGTCTCCATCAGGTTTACATCTCCATCACCTCACGCCCGCTCTCTGTAAACAGAATCGTTGAAGCTGCCAGTGATTTTTCCTCCTTTTGTGTTTTCACTCTTACCGCTCCTTCAAAGAGAGAGGAATGAAGCAGAATTAAGGAAGTGTAGACTGAGCTGTAGTAGAGATACACACTGCTGCTATTGCTTGGTGTAAATTTCATGAAATTGCCTGGAAGTGGACACAGGCTTCCACAGCCTCCAGTTGGATCTATTGGATCTATTTTACTATAATACTTGCATCTTTGTATAATTTCCACAGCCAAAAAGGAGAATACAGAGCTGAGTGAGTAAGCTAGTACATTCTCAAGGTTTTCATTATCTCTGAGCCTACATAATGAATAATTTTGATATACCTTTGGCATTAGAAGCAATCTCTCCACCATCGTACCAGTACTGCCTTCATAGCAGCTGCTGGTTTGGTATTGCCTGCGCTGTGCTTTCACTGACCATAGAAAAACGTCCAGATTAAACAGTGTTTAAGTTGTTTGTTTTTTTTCTATTAAACTAAATGCTTTACTGGACAGAGATACATAAGTACCCACTCTGATAACGATTTCTTCCCAGTACATTGTACTGATGAAGCTGGTAACCTCTGATGAAAGCTCCTGCACTATAAAAGCAGAACCGCAATTGTCTTAACTGAGGCACTGAACAGCAAACAAATGCTTGGGTTTTATCTAGCTCCAGGCACTGGTGTCACCTTTTTCTTGCCCATGAGTGCTTCGGTGTGCCTAACTTCTAGCTCTGTTTGTACTCAGAGATCCCCCTTTCACTGCCTTCCAGTCTCTGACATATTTATCTTCACAGCCATTCTCTGAAGGAGGAAAACGAGATATTCCTTGTTTTGCAAATTAGCAGCCATAGGGAAATTCAGACTGCAGTTCACTCAGGTCTGTGGCAGCAGCAGCTACAAATTTATCTGAGTTGGTTTGTTTCAACTGGCTTTGCTAGATAGCAGCAGCACGCTTGCAGTGCACGCTTCACTTCTGGTAACTGAAGGCACAACAGGGTCCCAAGAAGGATTTTTATTATATAAGAGGTCTCCATCCATTACTCAGTCATCAAAATAAATAGAATTTGGCTTGCTTTTTCCAAATAAGGTCTTAGTAACTATGATCAGATAGAATAAAACTGTTTAGAAACTTATCCTGATGCAGCAAAATGCTAGGAACCACAGCCCCTGTGTGAAACAGGTGCTCATGGAAGGTGCTCATGAGGGATTCCTCAGCTGAAGTTCGTGAATTTTCATACTTTAACTAAATGCTAATTTGTAGAATTATACTTTTTTCCTAGAAGTTCTTCTTTAAACTACCTGGACTAATCCTTCTTTTCCATCAAAATTGTGATCTAGCATTGCTGTGAGCAGGTAAATGATTCTCTCTAGCTCTGCATGATCACGTTATAGCCAGTCTATGACAACTGGAAACATCTGAACATCACATTCAGAGAAAGGGCTAGCAGTGCAAAGCCGTGTTAGGAATTCAGATTTTGGACAGATATTAAAACATATTTTATTTTGAAAAACATCCTTTCACCAGTGGGATGCCCTGCATTTGTGGTGCTTGACTGTTGAGATGTTTTTACTGGCTCTATTTTGGCCAAGATGGTCTTGCCTGCAACCCTGCTGTCCCACGGCACAGCACCAGAGCTGAGAAACTAGCCAGGAAGGCAGTGTGTCCTCTGGGCTGTGGTGAACCACCCCAGGAAGAATGTAACCCAGGCAGAAAACTCCTGATATTTGGGTTACTACAGGACAGCCAGGTTTGAGGTTGAGGCCCAAGCTGCCGTGCATGACGAGAAAGACATTGAATCGGAAGCTGGGATCTTGCTCTCACTGGTGCCAAGGCACAGGGACTAACGATTTGCATAGTCATTCCCAATTTGTAACAGTGTAATAAAAAGGAAGACTCGTATCCATCCAAGAATGATGTGGCCTTGCCAGAATCTGCAGGAAAACTCCGAGACACGGAGCGCACTTTGAATAGTCGAGCAGTACTGTGCTTCCAGCTCAGACTAAGGTGGCTGAGGAACGATCTCCTCGTGGCAGCTGTGGCAGTTGTACTCAGTAGCCCACCCTGCTGTGACAACACACGTTAGGTGTGTGGCAGAGCACTGTCCGTACGCTCAAGAAAAGGTGTGCAACTGATGCAGCATTTCGGGCAGGGAGCAAAAAAGCAGAGCAGAGCAGTGCACAGGTAAGAGCTGCTCATTGTGGCGCCTGCTCCAAGGCCAGCACGAGCCCATGGGAGCCAAGATTTGGTTCCACTCCCAGAAAAGTCAACGAAACCCATTTAAAGTGGAATGATTTCATCCTGTACTGCATGCTGAGTGACTTGCCAACAGTACTATTAATAGCACAGGTTTATCCCAGGTACAAGCTAATGGAGCGCAGAGCTACAGCGTTTCTGCGTAGCTGATTAGTGGAGCCCTGGCCTCAGAGATACTGAACCTGTCATATGTGGGCAGGATCCCACCTGGCATCAACGTCTGACTGCCTTTAGGAACTGCCTAAACATTCTTCTATTTAATAAATCCCTTCCCGTGGTGCCATTCTCAACATCAGCTAGTGCCATCCCTTGCTGAAAGAAGAAAAGCCCTATCTAGAACAAAGTGGCAGCTAAAATTTGGTAACCCTGTCAAGGACATCAAGACCTGAGTTGTCACTACTGTCTTTTATGTGGAAAGCGTTAAGATAGCAGAGTGCTGAAAAATGACACAAGCTAGAAAAAAGGGGCAGGAGCTACTATGTTCTGGGAATGTTAAACATCACAGTGTGGTTCTGACTGTGCAGGATTTCTTTTCCCTGTCTCCTTCTCTTAAAATAGTTTTTCTTAAATCACAAAACTTTGCCTTTCTTTTCTGCTTCACAGACAAGCAGAGCAAATACAGAAATAATCTCCAGAGATGATCTGCAGATATTTTTGCTTCTTCAGTTTATGTCTTTTCTTTCCAACCCAAAGGTAAGTGGAGCATTTGCTTTGTTTTACATGGAATGTCTGAATTATTTTTCATATAAATAACGTGGGTCAAAAGGAAACTATGCTTCCAATTATTCAGCCCATCCAAAGAAAGATGGGTGCAGGATGGGATGTGGCATAGAAAAGAGCAATCTGCATGGGTCCCCAAAACACAGCATGTACGTTTACAGTGCAACCCGTTATTTCCTGTTTAGCACCAGAATAGTTCACAATTTTTGGTGGAAATGGCCCTACAGGGCTCCCAGCTGTGTTATTACCATCCCTGGAACTACGAGTCCTAAATTACTTGAATGGTTTATGTTTACGCTGTGCACTAACTGGTTCAGTTCTGTAAGGTCCTTCTTGGTCTAAAACCTGCAGCAAAGCTCCAAGGACTACTACCCCAGCTTTAAGGGAAACAGAAGAAAAAAGTTCATCAGAGCTTTTGACATTGCTAAGTTTCTTACTGCACAGACCAGTGGTCCTGAGACTTTTGAGGAGAGGCAGAGGCACTGCCTTCCATCTCCTTCAGCCCTTCGCAAAGCAATGACAAACTCTTAATGATTCCCTCGTTTAGGTTTTCAAGTGAGCGCATGACAGCACAGGGACACTGCACCATAAAACTCCCCTCTTACAGCCCAGGCCCCTGGCTCTCCAGCTGTCTGTATGATGGCACAAATCTGTGAGCCTCAATGTCAGGTACCAGTTTTACTGTCCCTCCCCAAAACGCTAATTTTGACGTTGTAAATTCGAGTTGAACCCTCCGCACAGCAGCGAGGGGTGGCTCAGCCCGCAGAGCTTGGTGGGTGTCTGCGAAACGCTCAGTGCTTTGCCTTTCCCCTTCCAGTGTACTCGGAGGTTTTACTCCTGCCAGGAGCTGTAGGGACACTGCCTGACACTAACATATGAGGATGAAAAGCTTCTTTAGGGGACTAGCGATTAGGGAAGAGGAGCTGTTGGTCAGCTAGATTTCTCTCAGGCCGTCATAAGCAGGAGGAAAAAAGAAATGCATGTTCCTTGTACAGACTCTCTAAGGAGGAGTAGGATGGGGGAGATTGCAGGTTGTTATTAAGATTTGTGATACACAGACCTTGCTTGATTTGTCTGGGATGTTTTAAGAATGTCCTTAAGGTACCGTGTGTGTAAACCTGAGGTAACTTGCCATTTTCCCACCTCTTCCAAGTGCCAGTTACTCAGCCAAGATAAGCAACGTGAGCAATTGTGCATGATTTCAATGATCTACTTATTTTTAATAACTATTTTATGCAGTTTGCTTGTTTGAGCACAAGCTGGAAACAGCTGCACACCAGACGTGCCCAGCATGCCCAGCCGCACCTGACAGCATGTATTTGTGTCCCCAGGAGGTGCTCCCTGGGTCACGTATCTGACCTGCATGGCCGCGACACAACATCCCTGCCTGGATTTGAGAACCTCACCATGGGATACAACAAATACCTCAGGCCCTACTTTGGTGGTAGGTTGGCTCCGTGCCTTTGACCGTTTGAAGAACAGTCTGTAAAGCTTGTGTGGAGAGGAGAGCATGCTGAAAGGTTTCTTTAGGATGCCCCAGTTGAAAAGGTTGTGTTCCTTTGAAATTAGCCAGTAGCCACGGATTTCTGTGCATCCGCTGTTGTCTCAAATAGATTGTGCACGCACGTGTGGGGCATGAGAGCATGTCCATCCATGAGGCTTAGAACAGGGAATTTACAAACTTCAATACCTCTGTGAAAGACCTGACAGAGTGACCAAATTCTGCTCGAATTGTACATGCTTTAGATTAGAGTCTGACCCTTGTGATTTTCTGCTTTGTTTCTGTTCACGTGTATCTATTTAGTAGACTGTGGCTATAGAGGAGTAAAGACACTCTCGTTGCCAGAAACATTGACTTTTGACACATGCTTTCACGTCATACTGAGAAACAAACTAAACCTGCTTTAAACCTCTAGGGAGTAGATGGAGCACCTGAATGATAGTCAGGAACTTACCTGAGACTATGGTCCAGTTTGGGTGTTAGGTCTCCCACCTTCCAGGTGAATGCGGTAACCGCTCTGAGGAAAGGGTTTCTCAGAATGACCTTCAGCATCTGAAAAATAGTGATGAAAGCTTAAAAAACAGCTATGAAAATTTTTATTTCTATCAATTTTGCTTTTCTGCCAGAACACATTAATGAAACTATGCTCAACAGAAAAATTCCCCATCAGCTTTCACCAGGACTTGGATGTTTCCCATTGTAGCTCCTGCAGACTGACCTCCTGCTACTGGCAGCTTTGAGCTTCTTCCTTTTTCTGACCATGGTGACAAATTCCTGGGACAATACAGAATTTACCAGCTTGTTATGCTAGAATGTCTGATCTCACACAGCAATAGAAAAGCTCCTCTAGATCCTGTCACATTAGTGAACAGATACTTGGGAATTGTGTAATGGAGATAACTGCATCTACACCAGCCTACGCCTACCAGAGCCATAAATGTTAAACGAAAACAGCCAGGACTCTGGTCAGACCTCCCCCAAAAGCCCTGGGTGCTCACGGATCTACCCTCTGCACATAAGTTTGAGTGGGCTTCAACTGTCTAAATATCTAAAAACAAGATGCAGGACATGAATCTACATCTTTTGCAAACAAAATACATTTTGGATCAGTTTAAAACAAATAACAAAAAAACCCCAACAGAAACAAACAGACAAACAAAACCCAACAAAACCAAAACCACTTGGAAATTCTGCCCCTTGGACTTTGCTAAATGTGATTTAGATGATGAACAGGAGTTTCAGCGAGTCCCATGAGCACAGGCATTGCTGTGTTGTCATCCAGGCAGAGAGGCTGTCTTGGGAAGCACCAAGCCCTACTCTGGCCCCAGACCGACACTGGGGATCAGAGAACCCAGGCACAGCCTGCGGGAAAGCGCGGTCTCTGCCGGTGTGACAGTGACCCCCCCGGAGCAGCCGTTCGCTCGGCGCCGGGACGCGCTGTGCCTCGCCAGCCCCGGCGCTGCGTTTCCCGGGGAGGAGCTGCCCTCCGGTGGCGGCAGGTGGGAGCTGGTGTTACCGAACGGGGCACTGCCAAGGCTCAGCACTTGGACACTGGAACTTTGCTTGTGAATAGCGCAGCAATGTGATAAATAACAAGAGGCAAAGGCGGCTGCACTTCTGATTGTAGCCCAGAGCACGGTCTCAGAAACCACTGGATTTCTCACCTCGTAGTTTTTCACTCTGAGAAGCAAGGATGTGGTTGGTACCTGCTTGCGGGGCATCCGAGAGCCGTGTATGGAAAATGCCTTGTACCAAGTTTACCGTTCTCGCCACAGCATAGGTGCTGTGGAGTGGGTAACGAGGGACAAACTGGCCCTGGGTGCCTGTCGGCAAACGCCCCTGACCTGCTGCTTGTCTAAACTGCTGATCTTCATAGCCAGCACTGATGGGTATTTGCTCTTGGCTACCATCACCACACAGAACTGCAGCTCCCTGGCAGTGAAAACTTTATTTTGGATCATGACATCCTTTGTGAGTCTAATGGTCTGAAACTGTGCTGAAACCTTCAGGCTCCTGTGGTTTTAGAGGTGGCGTTGCGTGCATGGAACGCTGCCAGCACAGCCCGCGCTGTGCACCATCCTGAGCGCTTTTACTCTGCCTTTCTCTCTGCTTCAGCTTTTCTTTTCCTCCACAGGAGAACCTGTTCAAATTGCCATGAGCCTGGACATTGCAAGTATTTCTAGTATATCTGAAAGCGACATGGTAAGTGAATATGCTTTTATTTTATAAGAGATAAGAGTAAGATCTGCCTGAGAGACTTGTCATGTGTTCCTGCGTGTTCAGCGCAGAAACCAACTGTTATATCCAAGCTGCTTTGCTTTTCTGTGTCTGTTGACCACTTTCAGAGGTGTGATGAGAACAGGGCTCACGGATGACTGCAGACTATGTAGATGCTAGAGTAATGTGGGCTTGTAAGTAAACAGAGACGGCTCCAAAGGTCCTAGTGCTCAAAGACACCGTACCTCCTGGAAATCAGGCCCCTGTGAAATGGAAAAAATCAATCCTGTCTGGCATTTCCTCTCCCTTACCTTTCCTCCATGTAGGAGCCCTTAGTGTAGCGTAGGAGCGGCCTCTGTTGGACCTGCTGGCATTGACTGAAGACAGAGACAGGGTTTCTTCTCAAGGAGGAGAAACGAAGTTTTGAGCTGCAACACAGTCTGAGGCTCAAAGGACTGGTCATCCTAAGAAACAAAAACAGTAACAATTTTCAAATATACAGAGACATCTTCCCAACGCTGATGAGTCAGGTTCCCTCCACTTCTGGTATCAGCTGGATTTCAAACACCAACCACTGAAAACTCCTGTTTCAGGTTGACCAAAACTATGGGCAACTGGGGTAAATTCAGCAAATATTTTCAGTCCAAACAGACTGAAGTTCAGTCAGGAACAATTTCAACGCTTAATTTTCAGCATTTTCAAGAACACCACTGACTGTTTTTTCTCTCCCCCCCAACAAATTAAACAAGTTCACCAAAAAAAATACTGTAATTTTGATAAAGCTGTTTGTTTTGGGGAAGAGGCAGAATCAACAAAATGAATTATTCACATACTTCTACCTTAATTAAAGGGCCTTGTAAAATAGCTCGCGTTCTAGAGTTTTTCTTCTTGATGGTCCACTCTGACCACATGGAAAACATTGCAGAGGCTTACTCCGTGCCTTGATAAAAGCTGGAAATCAACTAGGATTCTTCACTTATTATAATTCACTGTATTGAAAGCCATAACAGTGCATTATTTGACGTGTTATTTCCTCTGCCACAGGCTCAGAGTAAAATTTTAAAAGTTGCAAAAGCTAATGCTGATACCGGATGTTTACTGAGACCTTTTCTCGTAAAGAATCTTGACACAGATTATGGATGGAATGGAACAGAACTGCTCCATCCTCTAGAGACAGGCCGCATATCTGTGGTGTAACAGAGCGGCTCCGTGCTGTTGACCCATCGCCAGTACCAGTCTGTCTGTGACAGAGGTGTCTGGAAAATAAAAGGCATTACTGGTTGCATTTACTCACTAATAAGGAAGGAAGTGAAATAACACAACAGTGCTCCATGTCTGTCCAGGAGGCTCAGGAAAGAATTCTCGTTAGAGCCCAGTACTGCTTACTCTTTTATGATGGGGCACTGCGAAAATACTCTAATCACTGCAGGTAGATTTTGGCAGGCTGAACTCAAGTTAATCCCAGTGTCCTTAGATTCAAAACTCCTGTTAAAAAAGATGCTACAAATTTTATTTTTTAATGTTTTGGGTTGGGTTTTTTTTAAGACCTCAGTGAAATAACAGGTTAGATTTGCTTACTTTTTTTTTCTCTAAAGTGCTGATGTCTCTTGCCATGGCAACGTTTATAGTGCATATGTAAGTTTCCAACTCTGGGCAATGACTGATTTTTATGTCAATGACTTGCTGAGTGGCCTCAAATATGCACTTCCCATCTGTTTTCTTACCTGCAAAATGGACGCAAAAATATCAATTACAATAATTTCTCATTTAAAAAAATAAAAGAAGTACGATGAGTGTAATCTTTGGTCCTCAAACAGTACACCTTAGAGCACAAGTATATGAGAAACGTAACACAGTAAATTAAACTATGATTAAAATTATCAGATTTACTGCATGCGTTTGGAGCTGAGCTTTGATAGCTTGTCGCACACGGTGTACCCACAGCTACGCTCTGCAGGTGTTCTGGACACGCATCCTCACAAGTTTTCCTTTCTTTCCCAGGATTACACAGCTACTATATATTTGCGGCAGCGCTGGACAGACCCCCGGTTGGTCTTTCATGGCAACAAGAGCTTCACGCTAGATGCTCGTCTGGTGGAATTGCTCTGGGTACCAGACACGTACATCGTGGAGTCAAAAAGGTCCTTCCTGCACGACGTCACCGTGGGGAACCGCCTCATAAGATTGTTCTCTAATGGCACCATCTTGTATGCCTTAAGGTAGATCAACCTTTGGCTTTGTTGATGACGATGGTTCGGAATAGATTTCCAGAATCATGTTGGACAGCAGGTACCAGCTGTCATGAGTAATGAGTTTGGGGTCAACAAGCCAACTGTGACCATACTCTTCTGATCCATTGCGCCCTGTTCTGGCCAACTGGAAACGCCAGTCAAGGATCAGGATTTCCCATCATGGTATGTGCTGTGTCCTGAGCACAGTGCCTGCTCAGAAAGCTTATGAGTTTAGGTGTTCCCCAAGAGAAGTCAAGTAGATTCAGATGAAGGTGGAGCATGAATGGAGGGAGGACATCATAACAGTAAAAGTTTAACAGATAGTGGGTGTCATGGTTTAACTCGGCTGGCAATTAAACACTATGCAGCCCAGGGAATCGAGAAGAGAATTAAAGGGTAAAAGAGAAGACAACTGATGGGTTGAGATAAGAACAATTTAATAATAA